TATGGCCAGGTTAGGAGGAAGAAGACCTTAATAGACTCAAGGAACAGAAAAGGGGCCATGTGCACTGCCATTAAGGAGAGTAATTGGCAGAGTGAAATCATGTTTGAAGGCCATGTAAGTCTGAATGCTGTAATATTAAATATGATGGGAAACCTTTGAAAGCTTTTAAATAGAGAAAAAAATGCTGTGATTTATGTTTTTCAAAAAGAAAACCATGGCTGCCATAGGAGACGATTATAGTGGGGGGAAGGTGGATGCAGGGAAGGGAGATCCTGGTGATCAATTCATAACTGACCTGCCGAAGTTCGGCATCTTCTATATAAAATGTGCTGACACCCAGGACACCCTGAATGCTTGTGGCTAGTTGGTTTCTTCTTAGAACACCTGCACACTCCTCTTTCTTCCCAGGAGAACTGTGTGATTTCCAAGCACCTGTTGGCTTCCAAATTTGTGCAGGCTAGCTATATTTAAAATTAAATTTTAGCTTATTTTATTTTTAAGATTTTATTATTTGAGACAGAGAGACAGAGAGAGAGAAAGAGGGCACACAAGCAGGGAGAGAGGCAGAAGGAGAGGGAGAAGCCGACTCCCCGCTGAGCAGGGAGCCCGATGCAGGACTCTATCCCAGGACCCTGAGATCATGACCTGAGCCGAAGGCAGACGCTTAACTGACTGATCCACTCAGGCGCCCCTAAAATTAAATTTTAAATAAGGTTATTAATATTATATAAAACAATGAAATATGAGAACAAATGATCAATTCTAGGGAAAAGTAGTCAGTTTGGAAAGACTTGGTAAAAGTGTAGGCAAGATAGCAGTAGAGGATTGAGAAAAAAAACGGTAAAAATTGTGCCTTCTGCCATAGATTCCTTCATACACATCTTATGCCTTCACTGTACAGAAACTAAAGCTAGGAATCAGAAAATGAATTAGGGATATGGCTTAGCAAGAGAGAAAATCAGAAGCACTCATCAGTAAAACCATGCCAAAGAAGGGCTTTGTATCTCCATTTGAGCTTTGGCAAATGAATATATGTGCATTAAGTTAAAATAAAATGTTTAAGGTATGCAGTGTGGTTCCTGTGTCCCTCTTCGGCCTATCACAGCCGGGAAGCGGGCTTCTACTTTGGAACTAGAATTGATTATTGGACTGGGGAAAAAGAATTAGGGAGAATAATGGTCCTTGCCACTTGCACAGGCTGAAGCAGACTCTTCTGCTTGGCATGCCTTTCTACTTTTAAGCAGCAGCTGAAGCTCCACACTTCTACTGCTGACCAATATCTGCCCTTCTTTCCAGCCTTCTCATTCCCGTAATTCATCACAAATACCACAATTACCACCACACTTGCCACAATGCTGCACAATGTACAGACCAGCCTGTATAAAAAGCTGTATTGGTCTCAAGTCCTTGAAGGGCTCATGTGCTTAACAATTTTTATAACCCAGAGCTGACACATGGTAGATGGTCAACGTTTGTTCAATGGACAAATGAAAGAACAGGCTATCTACTTTAATCTTTTGAACTGAGAAATATCTTTGTAAGCATTTAAATGATCTATCCTATACTGTTATGTGAATGTTTGTGCCTCCCTCAAATTCATATGTTGAAGCCCTAACCCCCTCGTGTTAATGTATTTGGAAATGGGGCCTCCAAGGAAGTGATTAAGGTTAAATGACTTCTAAAGGTGGGGTCCTGATCCAACAGGACTAATGTCCTTATGAGAGATACCAGAGAGCTTGTTCTCTGTAACCCAGAGTGTCCTCACCAGACACCAACTCTGCTGGTACCTTGATCTTGGCACTCAGCCTCAAGAGCTGTGAGAAAATAAATTTCTGTTGGTAAGCAATCTTTGATAGGTCTAATAGATGGTTCTCTTTTAGCTTTCAAGAAAAAAAGTGTTTCTCCTTTGATTATTTTTCTTTACTAACAAAATATACAATATCATCACAGGTAGAAGTCTTTTTGTTTGAAAAGCATTTTACCCCTAAGGTTAAACCTATAATTCAAATTAAAAATTATCTTTATTTTTAATTTATCTTGGTACAATTAACAAAAAAAAATTTTTTTTAGTGGTTTCACAGGTGGCTAGTCTGATTCCCTTGCTCTTCCCTCATACTTGTCACACATCCTATTTGCAAGATGGTTTCCAGAGTACCCCTGCACATTACCTGAGATCAAAACAAGAGGAAGGGGGAGAGGCTGTAAGAGCAGCAAACTTACCCTCTTACAGGAAAAGCGAGTGATTTCCCAGAAGCTATCAGCATACTTCTATCCATCTCACTGGCCATAATCGTGTCACAGGCTCAGACCTAGTTGCAAGGGGAGCTGAGAAAAATAACTTATTTGGTTTATCACATTCCTATTCTGGAGGGGGTAAAGAAACTTTTGGGTTAGTCAATCAATGGTGGTATTTGCTATAGAGGGTTACTGGAAAACTGGACTGGCAGATGAGCTAATACTAATAATCCTCCAGATACGGGCTTAATCACCCCAAGGTGGGCTTTTCATTTCACATGTTAGCAAAGAACTTGAGCCAGCATTTCACTAATACTTCTTTGATTACAATTAGCTAGGTTGCAAACATTTCATTAGAGCAAAGTCTATACCAAGTCTTATCTGTATCTATTACTATAAAACACTAACTTTAGCTATTGAGTATACATTAGCCGTATTGTTTATTATTGTTTTGTGTGGCGCTAATGACATTATTGTACTTTTCTGTAAGTGATACACAGGGAAGTGGTAAGTGGGGTCTTCTAATTTGAGGCTATGGTTAAAACCATAAACAGAGTTTATCAATATTGTGTTTTGACCAAGAACATAGCTTACCACTAGCTAGCATTTCTAAGTTTGCATTCCATATTCATTGGTCCTACTTAAGAACATCTTTTAAAGGGAAGAATAATTTAGCTTTGTGTTATTAGTGCCATCCTTAATGGTGCAGTAATTGTGTTAGTACAGGCCTTGACAAGTTCTTACCTAATGTAGTCTAAAATATCATTCAATTCTGAGACTTTATCAGAACAAAAATACATCTGTTCTAATTGAAGATCTTAAATAGGGAGGAAAATTGGGGTTGAGAAAATAAGAAAAATAAAGTTATGTTTACTACACAAAAGTACAGCTCCTAAGGTTCTATATGGAAGCTACAGGCAAACTACAATTTGGCTTAAGGCTGCCCAAAAAAACAAAAAAAAAATCAAAAAAGAGAAAGACAGTAATAGAGTCTTTAAGATAAAAACAAATCAATTCTTTAAGAAAAGCACTGGTTTTCCTGCTGCTGAAACCTAAGAGAATTTTCTCTCATGAGTCCTCATAAAGGGCAGAGTGTGGTATAGCAGCTTAAAAACCCACGTGTTGAAAATCCAAGTTCTGATGATTGTTTTGCTAGTAGAAGCCAGCCGCACAGAAGCAAAGTGCAATGCAGTAAACATAATTCTATTATCTTTTGGAAGAACTAAAATGTGGATCAAATATGTAGCTCTTTGAAAATCTCCCAGAGGATACAATTTAGATGCCTCTCTTTACTGGTTGAGAATACAGACTTGTTTTTAACATAATCCTCAAACTCCTCTATTCCTGTAAGAAAACCCATTTCAAAACTACACAAATTATTTTTAGACCTAAGACCACTATTCCCTTCTAATACCACAAATAGTTGAAGTAGACTACATAGACTGTTTATCTGAGGAACAGGGTTTTCTAAATAAATGTGCTTTAAATGTCTACTCTCAGAATAGTAGACAAATAAAGCACATTTTAAAATGCTGGTTTATGGTTTTACTACCTACACATGAACTTAATTTTTAAAAGGTTAAGTTAAAAGATTATTCACAAAAGTGTTTCCTGTTTGAATTATGTTCAATTTTTTTTATTAATTTTGGTTACATTTGAAGTACACTGCACCTATTCACAAAGACTTAAAATGATCAGTAATATAAAATGTAAACCTAAAAAAAATCATAGTCATTCCACATCTGTGAAATGCAGTTAAGTACAATGAAATTTACAAATAATTACAAGGGATAGAGAGAACACTGAAATTGAAGGGAAAAATGATATTCAAGATCTAAACAACACAGCTACTGCTACACTGAAAAAATAATTTATTAAATGAATATAGTACTGGGAATAAAATGCCTCATAAAAGTAAAAAAAGTAAATTCTAAATATAAATAGTGTTTTATTTAATTAACAAGAGGTTTTCTTCACCCATCCCAAACTTTACATACAATCTTCTGAAAGGCCAGATTTTGAAAGTGTATGGTTCACTTTAAAACAGACATGTACGTAGCACTATAATATCTGGAATTTAGCAAATATCATCTTGTCATTAGACTAAAAATTATATTAATTTAAATGATTGTTCTTTGTAAGCCTTTTTAAGTCTAGAATATTTTGAAATGAACAAAGAGAATAGTTTATTATATTCTTCCTATCTCCCAGGATAGTAAACACACTTCTTGTATACTTTGTGGAAAATACTCTGAGAACATGTGCATTTTGACAAAGGCTTTTAAAATTTTTGGTACTTTGGTAAGAAGCAGTTTCCTTTTTAGATCAAAAGTTGACAACAGCCACTTGATCTTCTAATCTACATAAATAGAGTTTTAACATTTTAATATGTACATCAAGATACTGATAAACTTTTAGATAGTGAAGAAAACAAAACTGGAGATTGTTATTCTATTTTCCCAGTAAGTTTCCCTCAGCTTTTAGAAAGCACATGCAGTTCAATATACCAACCGGGATTTCAAAATGCTAGTAGGATAACAACGCTTATTAACAGCAATATGCAAAGCAGTGGAAATAGAAAATAAATGAGTAACTTCATATAGTAAAAATGAAACAAGGCACTTTCAACAAATATAAGCAAATCTGAAATAAACACTTTTTCATAAAGCTGACTCACAGACCCTAGCAGACTGGTATAAAAGTGAAATAGTGAAGGCACTACATAATTCTTTTTCTTAACTCCACTTACTAAAGAAATTCACCAATTAAACTTGGCACAAAGGAGTTTAATTATCATAAAGTGCATCACTTGGCTAAATATATTAAAAGGAAAATCAGCCTTAATACATTATAGCAACATATTCACATATACAGAAATAAAAATGCAATCCCAGGAGTCAATGTAGTTAAGGAACTTTATAGTATATATGGCTTTTTATTTTGTATTTTTTTGTATAACTCTCTATTTGCTTAGAATCTTTATTTTCAAAAGAGTATACCTTGATTAGCAAAAAGAGGTAGTATTCCAAAAGAGGACAACTCACTGATTCTACAGGTAGAGATTTGAGATAAAGATATGTGGAAAATAAACAAGTACAACATATTATAATAAACTAGACACTATAGCACTCTGATAATGAATCAGCTTTTAAAAACAAGGCTATTTTATCACTTTAGCTACATTATTATATGTTACTATAGCTCTCTGTAATAGTTTTCCTTTGGTATTAGAAAGTTTTCTTTTTTTTAAATAGCAATAACATTGCAAACAGGCAATTTTTATTTACAAATGGTAAACGTGTCAATATTTAAAACTTAATTCATCTTTACCACTGATTTAAACCACTAATGAAAATACATTATGTCAGAGATACAAAGAAGTATATATCAACCAGATAGTAACATGCATTTAATGTCCATTTAACTGATAAAATTGGCATTTTAAACACAAACACAAACACGTACACCACACACAAGAGGGCTCACACACATATTCGTTTGGAGCAATATATAGCAAAATACCAAAATAACTTATGCATATTATTTAAGAATTGAGTCTTGGTAACAGAACTCTAATTAGATTTTTTTTTTTTAGTGTATCAAATACAAAGGTTGGATAAAAGGCAATTTAAAGCAGCAGTGAATACATTTCTATCCCAATAACTTAAAAAAACTTTTCTTTATGTAAACTTTAATACATGTGCAATCTTTCTGTTTTCTGTAAATGCTTCAGTCTTTTTTCTTTTTAAATATTTGCCACTCTATTCTAAATTTGCTTAAACATATACATGGAAGGAACTGCTTGTCATGTATTAGTCTTCTGCATTGTATGCCACTTCTGCAACTTCTATGTCCGATACAGAATTTTCAGGTTCACTAAAACTTAAGCATGGCTTATCATCAGTTCTGCAAGAAAAGAGAAAGATGTCAACGAAGAGATAAGATACATGCTATTTCACTTTGCTATTACCTTTAAAATTTTTTAATCTAATGTAGAGATTATTTAAATATTAATGGGAAAATATTTAATGGAAAAGAATATTTAAATATTTGATCAGAAATTTTGTATATTTTTATTTTTATTTATTTTTTTATTTATTTGACAGAGAGATAGAGAGATAGCACAAGTAGGCAGAGTGGCAGGCAGAGGGAGAGGGAGAAGCAGGCTCTCCGCTGAGCAGGGAGCCAGACGTGGGGCTCGATCCCAGGACCCCAGGATCATGACCTGAGCCGAAGGCAGCCGCTTAACCAACTGAGCCACCCAGGTGCCCCTATATAGATATTTTTAACGATTTTATTTATTTATTTGACAGAGAGAGAGAGACCACAAGTAGGGGGAGCGGGAGAGGGAGAAGCAGGCTCCCCACTGAGAAGGGAGCCCAACATGGGGCTTGATCCCAGGACCCCGAGATCATGACCCAAGCCAAAAGCAGCCGCTTAACCGACTAAGCCACCCAGGCGCTCCAAGAAATTTTATATTTTTAAGTTGTCATTACCAGACAACACCTTTGGAGATATACTTTTAACTTTTTCAGCTCTCCCAACTACCATTTATCACTAAAAATCCAGTTTATAATGACCTTTACCAACATAAATCTGTTCTCATAATTATAGCTTAGCTGCTACCACTAAAGTATTAATAATGACTTTGGATTTATAGGTAATAAATATTCTATGTGCTTTCAAATATACTATCTTTTCATCATTCCTGTTAGGTAGGCAGGCTTGTTGCTATTACACTATCCTACTTTTTGAATGGAAAAAGACTGAGGGAGATTAATTTGTCAAGCTTTACAAAATTAAGGAATTAACTGAATGGTTAATTTAGACATATCTTCAAAGTAAGTAATAATGTTTACAGCCTAGATGACAAAGACTCATTTTTAGGGAGAGCCTACAATATCTATAGTCTTTATTTGCTCAGCAGATTCCCGATAGAATGACACTGAGTTCACACAAAAAAATACTCTCTAGAGTGTTATTGACTATTTCCCTCTAATTATTCAGATGATTAGGCCATAATAAACCAAATATTATTTACCTAGATTCTTCATGCAAAACATCTTGATCAACCTCAAGTGTGGAGGACTCCACCTTTGGGATGTGTCCACCTTCTGTTTCTGACATGTGCAGTGATTCTTCAGGTTCTAAAGACAATGTTCTAAAAGCAAATTAGAGCAACAAGTTATTTTCTACAAATAAAGTATGTATTGGTTTATTTTTGTGAATACATGTAACTGTAGTAGTCTAGCTATTCTTAATATGGCTAATAGATTGCTGACTCTGGGAGTCAGCAGAGAAATTAGTACTTATGATTAATGTAAAATGATTTTAATATCAATTCAATGTATGTTGACAAGAACGTAAACTACAACTTTCATATGTGAAAAGTTGGCAGAAATGCCTAGAAACAAAGATACCATTTAAACAGGTTAAAATGAATAATGTTTATCTTGAACAGCTAGAGGCTTATATTTCTGATGTTTCCTATCCTTCAAATGTTCAACCTTCTAAATAAATCATCAAAAGGCAATTTTCCTAATCTACAAAAAAGGTACACCAAGAGTCTAAGACTTTTGGAATTGGAAATTTCCTAAGTCATATTAAAATGCAAAGGGCATTTAGCCCAGAGTAGTAACAGTTTAATGAGTAAGTCTAAAAATGCAAGTATCACAATACACCTGATTCTGCTCTCTAGAGTTTCTATACGAAGTTGCTTTTCATTTAGCAGTTTCTTCAGTGATTCCACCTCTTTCTGTTTTTCAAGTAGTTCTTTTTGAAAACGGTAGTTTGTCTCTTCTAAAGTTTCACAGAAAGCCTTAAAAACAAACAAAAAATGCAAAAAAAAAATTAATTACTTATGCAGTATCGTCCTCAAGAGTATTTATTTGAAGAGTTAAGGAACATAATCAAAATAGTATGTATGCAGCCTCAACAATTTGTTCTTTGCATGTGGGCATTCATCAATGTTTTGCCCTTGGTTATATATTCTCTTGCTCTATATGTCATCCCTGGGCAATTGCACTTACTGTTAACACTTCAGCTCTCATCTCTACTATATGCGATCATCCTCCAATGTGTTTGTTGTTGTTGTTGTTAATCTCCAGCCCTCAACCTTTCCTGAGTGCATTGACATCATTCATATATCTACTGTTCCTCTTCAATTAGATGTACCAATGGCAAGTCAAATAGTGTTCACAAGGGAATATCTATTCTACTACCTCATCATCAAAGCCACCAGGCAGGCATCTTAGATCAGTCCATTTCCCTAATTTCTATGGCCCAAGGATAACTAAGACTTTCCACCTTTCCCTTCCCCTCATCCCCTACTGCCTCATCAATACCTCTTGGGTTTTTGTCATTTGTTCTCATTTCTACAGTCTTCAGTTCTTAACCAAACTACATCACCAGTAAACTAACTGGCTTACCTATGTTTACTTTGGCAAACTAAGTTGGCTTTCTTACAAATAGATCTGATCATGTTACCTATGATTTAATACTGCCTAAATAATAAGGCCAAATATCTTACCTTGGCAAATGAAGTACCTTATGATGTGACATATGCCTTTTACCCCAACTTCATAGCTTGCTGTATTTACCTTTTCTTTCCTCTGGTCCTCTGCATAACCCCATGTTCCACCCAACTGAATTACTTTCAGTTTCTCAAATATTTGTCTTTATATAGATGGAAGTATATAATACATATCATTCTGCAGCTTGCTTTTTACCTAATGACATAAGATGAACCTTATAAACATTTCCAAATATAAAAATCTGGGTATATTCACATTATGAAAAAAACTGAACAGTGTTCAACTATCATGCAAATAGAACCTAGGAACACAGAGAAAAACAAAATAAATGAACCACACATAACTTCCATTGAGAACAGTATGGGTGACCAGACAAACTAAGGCCTCTGGCTATAAAACACCTAGCTAAAAAACCCAACTTTTAAAACAGCTATGTGGGCAAGAAATAGAGGTAAGTCTCAGGGAACAAAAATGAAGAGAAATGAAAACAAGTGCCACCAGCATGTGTACTGACATAGCTTTGGGTAGGGGGCAAAGGAGGAGTGATGAGAGGTTTCTTTTTGGTAACTTTGAACTTTAAAACACCAAGAGGGAACAAGAGATGAGTCAGGCACATTTTAAAGGCTAGTGACAAGAAAAATGAGATACTCAGGAATAAAGTAAGGACTCTAAAGAGCTAAGCCATTAATAAAAGTCACTCATCAACATAGGAATACATCAAGGAAGAATGTTTGTCTCATCCTGGCCTCTACATGGGAGAGGTAAAGTCTTCCCGGAAGAATCTCTAACCATGGGCTAATGCCTCATGTGGACTTTGGATTGAATTTATACTATCACAATTAGTCAGAAATACCCAAGCTTAGAAAATAGTATAAAAATGGTCCAGGAACAATGATACTAAAGGTATCTCTGCAGAAGCAAACAAACTTCTATGGAAGGATGTACCCTCAACTTTGGCTGTTCAGTGTTCCTGGAGACAAAGTATAATCAAAGTAAATTTATAATTCAAAATTACAAAACACATTAGGATATCGTCCACTGAAAAGAAGGATTAGAATTCCATAAACTTCAAATAGCATATTACTAGAAAAAGATTATAAAATATGAACATGTAGAACGACGTGAAAATACATTTTTAAAGCCACTATTAAAAATATCAAGTATACTGGGTGCCTGGGTGGCTCAATTGGTTAAGCGACTGCCTTCAGCTCAGGTCATGATCCTGGAGTCCCGGGATTGAGTCCCGCATCGGGCTCCCTGCTCAGCAGGGAGTCTGCCTCTCCCTCTCCCTTCTTCCCCCTCTCTCTCAATAAATAAATAAAAAATCTTTAAAAAAAATCAAGTATATCTGAGATAAAATAAAAGAATGTCGACATGAAAAGTACAGTCAATATTATTAAGATCCCCCCCCCCATTTTTTTTAAAGATTTTACTTACTTATTTGACAGATAAAGTGAGAGAGCACAAGCAGGGGGAATGTCAGGCAGATGGAGAGGGAGAAGCAGGCTCCCAGCTGAGAAGGGAGACCGATGCAGGGCTCGGTCCCAGGACCCTGAGATCACGACCTAAGCTGAAGGCAGATGCTTAACCGATTGAGCCACCCAGGTGTCCCAATATTATTATGATCTTAATGGAAGTATCAAATAGAATAATCTTGTCTGAAGACAACGGAGTGAACTGGAAGCTAGAACTAAGAAAATTACAGAATTTATTCATTGAAGAATAAAACATAGGGAGATGGAGACAGGTAACATGAAAGAAAGGTTAAGACAGATGGAAAAGGAAAATAACACATAATATTTATAAATTGAGTTCCTAAAATAGAGAATGGAGAGAATGAGGAGAAGCAATACTCAGTGAGAAAACAGCAGAAAATTTTCAGAACTGATTAAATACTAGCATTTTCAGATTTGGGAAGAATAATGCATCCCAATGAAGACAAACAAAACAAAACAAAACAAAACACCACCCACACACAAAATAGTAAAACTGCAAATGGTAAAATCAAAGAGAAGGTCTCTAAAATACTAGGAAGCAAAAACAGTTTACTAGAAGGGGACAACAATGAACTGAGAATAGATGTTTCACAGCAGCAGTCTACAGCAAAGGCAGCAGGAAAGACCTCAAAGCACTGAGAAGAAGGACTATCCAAGTGGAATTCTAGACCCAGTTAAACCATACTTCAAGAATGAGAGCAAGATTAAAAAATTTCAGACATTAAAGACCTAAACATTACCAACACACATTCACTGAAACAACTATTAAACGATGTACTTTAAGAGGAGTTAACTGAGCCCCAATGGGAGGAGTGAGATGAAAGAACTAGGAATGGTGACGAAAGGAAGTGACAAGTGTGCAGGTAATTAAAGGAAGCAATGGTTCACTTTCGGGAGGCTGTAAATAACTTGGTTCTAAATTATTTGATGAGAACAATATATGGCCATTAAATAAAAGACAGTGAATATAGAGCTTAGAAGCCAAGAGTAGAGGGGAAAAAGGGAAGAAAGGAAACTCATTAAGTATATAAAAGGAAGGAAAGGAGAAAAAGCAAGGTAAATAAAAGGTACAAAATAAAATGGCAGAAATAAATACACATATATTGGTAATTATTGGACACATCACAATAAACTCACCACTTGAAAAACAGATTTTTCTGTTTGTATCAAAAACCAAAACCTTACTTCTCTGTTGCTGACAAGAAACACACTTTTTTTTTTTAAGATTATTTATTTATTTGAGACAGAGAGAGAGGGAGAGCACAAGGAGAAGCAGACTCCCCGCTGAGCAGAGAGCCCAACTTGGGGCTCGATTCCAGCACCCTGAGATCATGACCTGAGCTGAAGGCGGACTCAACTGACTGAGCCACCCAGGCTCCCCAAGAAACACACTTTATTATTATTATTTTAAAAGATTTTATTTATTCATTTGAGACAGAGAGATACAGAGAAAGAAAGAGCAGGAGCAGGGGGGAGAGGCAAAGGGAGAGGGAGAAGTAGACTCCCCAATGAGCCGGGAGCTCGATGCTGGGCTTGACGTGGGGCTCAATCCCAGGACCTGGAGATCATGACCCAAGCTGAAGGCAGATGCCCAACCATCTGAGCCACCCAGGTGCCCCAAGAAACACACTTTAAATATAAAGATAGAAAAATATTTCTCAGGCAACAGGCAAATCTGCTTTCTCCCCCACAGAAGGCATAGTTTTATTAATCTCAGAGCAATGCATTTCAAGTGGAAAACTTGAGGCACAAAAAGAGTCACTACCTAATAATAAAAGGAATGATTCACTAGGGATATTTCAACTAGCGAATTCCAAAAAAAAAAAAAAAAAGAATTAACAACCAACCATTATGAGTGAATTCAATATACCTACTTTTGGTAATTAAAGATATGTTAAGAGATTTTTAAAAATCATGAGAAAACAGCCTTACATCAATGTATTTTAAAATCTGTATAAATTGGGGCGCCTGGGTGGCTCAGTTGGTTAAGCGACTGCCTTCAGCTCAGGTCATGATCCTGGAGACCCAGGATCGAGTCCCGCATCGGGCTCCCTGCTCAGCAGGGAGTCTGCTTCTCCCTCTGACCCTCCCCCCTCTCATGTGCTCTCTCTCTCAAATAAATAAATAAAATCTTAAAAAAAAATAAAATCTGTACAAATTGGCCAATTTTCTTTTTTTTTTTTTTAAAGATTTTATTTATTTATTCATGAGAGACAGAGGGAGAGAGAGAGAGAGAGAGAGAGAAGCAGAGGGAGAAGCAGGCTCCCAAGGAGCAGGGAGCCCGATGCGGGACTCGATTCCAGGACCCTGGGATCATGACCTGAGCCGAAGGCAGACGCTTAAGCATCTGAGCCACCCAGGCGCCCACAAATTGGCCAATTTTCTAAAAAAAAAATACATCAAAATTGAGCCCTAAAGAAACAGACAATCTGAATAAACTCTATTCATTAAAGAAACTTAATCAGCTGTAATCTACCCATAAAACTACTGAACAAACTAAAGAAAATATCAGACTCAGGTTGTTTTACAGGTGAGTTCTAATGAATACTCAAGGACCGAACAATACTGATCTTACTCAAATGGTTCTGGAGAAAAGAAAAAGAGACTATTCCTCAACTTGTAAGACTAGTATAATCCTGATGCCAGATCCAATGACAATAACAGAGAGGAAAATTATATTGTAAAAATTCAAATAAAATCATTATAATCCAAATCCAGCAATTTAAAAAAATGCTGAATTAATGAGTTAATCCCAGAAGTGAATGTTTTATCATTTGAGAATCTATCAGTGTGATTTATGACATATCATATTAAAAAAACCCCATATGATCATCTTTATAGACAGCAGCAAAAGTATTAATAACATACACATACCACAACCTCTAGCAAAGTAGGAATAGAACTTCTTTAACCTAAAAACAAAGATATAAACAAACACAACCCACAACTTCCAGCTGCTTGTAGGAAACATCATATCCAATGGTGAAAAACAGGATAATTTCCTTTAAAGTCAGAGCAGAGGAAAAGGATGTTTGCCATAACTGCTTCTATTTAACTCTAAAGATCCCAGGTAGCACAAAAAAATATGAAAATGAATGAAAAGTATTAAGGATTAAAAAGGAAAACCACAATTGTTAGTATTTCAAGGGAAAGGATTATATATATAGAAAACCTAAAAGGATCTACAAACTAATGAGAGATTTCACCGAAGATGCAACATATAAAATATATATAAAACAATAATGGAACAGTAATAAATTAAAATATAATAGGGGCACCTGGGTGGCTCAGTCACTGAGTGTCTGCCTTTGGCTCAGGTCATGATCTTAGGGTCCTGGGACTGAGCCCCACATTGGGCTCCCTGATCAGTGGGGAGCCTGTTTCTCTCTCTGCCTGCCACTCCCCCTATTTGTTCTCTCTCTCTCGGTCAAATAAATAATAAAATCTTAAAAAAAAAGAATATAATAAAAATACCAATTATGATTAAAAAACCCCAACATAATAAATTCTACAGATTTCCCTAAAAGTTTCAGGAAAAAATTTAACCTTTACTGAAGACTTTTAAAAAAGACCTAAATAAAGCAAAGATCTTCTTGATAGGAAGATTCAATTCTATAATGACTCTCCTCTTCAAAATTAATCAATAAATGTACTATAATTCCAAACAAAATGCCACCTGGATCTTTCATGAAACTCACAAGTTGATTCTAAAATTCATATGGAAAAACAAATAGTCAATTTTGAAGACGAACAAGGAAGGGAAACCTTGTCTTGCCAGATTCAAAAATTATAAAGCCACAGTAATTAACACAGTATGGATTCAATAAAGAAAGAGAATAATTATCATAATAATAAAAGCAAATAGAAATTCTGAAATTGAAAAGCACAATATCTGAAGTGAAAAATTAACATGAGGGGCTGAACAGCAGAATTGAAATGACAGAAAAATGAGTCAGTGAGCTTGAACATAGATCAATAGAAATTATTCAGTCTGAAGAACAGAGGAAAAATGATTGAAAAGAAAATGAACAGTACTTCAGAAACATGTAGTACAATGTGAAGTATACAAACATATGGATAATGGGAATCCCAGAAGGAGAAGGGTAAGAGAAAAGGACTGAAAAATTATTTGAAGAAATAATGGCCAACAACTTCCTAAGTCTGACGTAGAGCATTAATCTGCAAAATCCAAGAAGCTCAATGAAGCCAAATTTTGATAAACACCTTGATATATCATAATCAAACTGCTGAAAGTCAAAGAAAAAAGTCTTGAAAGTAGCAAGGGCAGAATGGCTCATCATGTCCATGGAAGCAATATAATTAAAGGCTGACTTTTCATCAGAAACAATGGAAGCCAGAAGACAGAGGAATGACACAAAGTAGTGAAAGAAAAAAAACTATCAATAAAACTATCCTTCATAAATGAACATTCCCAGTAAACAAAGACTGAGAATTTGTTGCCATCAGACCTGCCTTACAAAAAATACTAATGGAAGGAAGGCCTTGAAGCTGAAAGAATGTGATACCAGATGATAATATCAATCCACAGCAAGGAATGAAGAGGGCTGGAAATAGTAAATATATGGATAAATATAAAAGAGTTTATAACATATTTTTCTCATTTCTTCTCTTAATTTCTTTATAAGAGAAAAGACTGTATAAAGAAATAACTATTACACTGTATTACTGGGTTTATGACATAGATTTAAAATATGTTATAAATAATAGGGGTGTCTGACTGGTTCAGTCAGTGGAGCATGTGACTCTTCATCTCAGGACCATGCTGGGCCTAGAGCTTACTTAAAAAAATATGTAATTATAGCAACACCAAGTGGGGGGACGCAAAAGATGTACTGGAGCTAAGTTTATAATTCCCTGGAATTAAGCATTACTCTGAAGTAGACTGTTAAGATGCATACTGTAATACCTAGAGCAACCATTAAAAAATAAAAAAGTAAAAATTGCTATAGAGGAATCAAACTGGCATACAAAAAATATTTATTTCACACAATAGTAGGCAGTAAATGAGTACGAGGACCAAAACAGATGAGACAGATAGAAATAAACTGCAAAATGGCAGATGTAAAAGGTAAAGATGTCAGACTGAACAAAAGACCAAGACCCAACTATATGCTATATACAAGAGACAGACCTTGGATTGAAAGACACAAACTGAAAGCAAAAAAAAAAAAGGGGAGGGGGAGATATACTATGTAAAGAGTAGCCATAAGAAAGCTATAATAAACAAGACTGTGTGGTACTGGCACAAGGACAGGTAACTAGATCAATGGAAGAGAATTAAGAGTCCAGAAACAAACCCATTCCTTTGTTTATTTGATTTTTGATAAAGGTGCCAACACAGTAAAGGGTATTGGTACAATTAGGTATCTACAGGAACTTAAGACCCTTACCTCATACCTTATAGTATGCATCTATCAGGTCAGGATAGATTACAGACTAAATGTAAGAGCTGAAACTATAAAACTTCTAGAATAAAAATGAAGGAGAAAACTTTTGTGATCCTGTGTTAGGTAAAGAGTTCTTTTTTTTTTTTAACGTAGGTTCCACACCCAGCATGGAACTTGAACTCATGAGCCCGAGTTCAAGAGTTGGATGCTCTACCGACTGAGATAGCCAGGTGCCCCTGGGTAAAGAGCTCATAATGATACAACACCATAAGCCATAAAAAAAGTGATAAAATGAACTTCATTAAAATTAAAGTCATTAGTACTTTAAAAGACATCATTAAGAAGATGAAAAGACACATACAGATCAGGAGAACATATTTGCAAATCAGATATCTGATAAAGGACTTCTATTCAAAATAAAGAAGTCTTACAACTCAATAAAACAGCCAAACCAAAAAAAAGGGGGGGGGCAAAAGACTTAAACGGACAATTCATCAAACATATAACTGGCTAAAAGACACATGAAAAAGTGATCAAATTAAAAAAAAGTGACCAACATAAAAAATTAGGGAAATGCAAATTAAAACTATAGTACAATACCACTACACACCCACAAGAATGACTACACTCCAAAGACAGATAAATCACATTTACGAGGACACGGATAAACTGGAACTCTCAAATACTAGTGGTGGGAATGTAAAATGGTGTAGCTACTTCAAAAACAGTTTGTAAGTTTCTTTAAAAAGTTAAACATAATTTGCCATATAAGCAAATCTTCCATTTCTAGGGATCAATCCAAGAGGAATGAAGACAAATGTCAACACAAAGCCTCTATGAAATTGTTCACAGCAGCATTATTCAAAATAGCACAAAACTGGAAACTATTCAAATGTCCAACTGGTGACTAGATAACCAAAATGTGGTGTATGCATACAATGAAAAACCATGCAGCAACAAAAAGTATTGCTATATATTCTATATGTTCATAGAAGCTATATCATGGTTGACCCTCAAAAACATGATGCTAAGTGAAAGAATGTAGATGTAAAGATTATATACTGTATATGTTATGCATACTGCATTTGTAAAATATTATGTATATTGAACACTGATCACACACACACACACACACTCACTCACACACGACTCTATTTACATAAAATGTCCAGAAAAGGCACATTTGTAGAAACTGAAAGCAGATCAGTAGTTGTCTGGAGCTGGGAGTGTTGGACTGATTACAAAACGGCTTGCAGGAATTTTTTTCAAGGGAATTTCTAAAACTGAATTATGGTGATGGTGGCATAGTTCTATAAATTTACTAAAAATTATTAAATTGTACATTTACAATGGAATAGCAAATAGCTAATTTTATGGATGAAATTTTTACTTCAATAAAGCTATTTCCAAAAAGCTATGGCATTCACTCTAATTGAAAGAACAGATTCAGTTTAACTGAAAACATTACAAATCTACCAATTAAATCTGTTCCATTTAAATGCCATTGAACATTTGGGGAAAAAAACTTGCATAAAATCCTTCCTAATCTATTATTACCAAATCTGTTTTGTGAATCTAGCCAATTGCTTCAAGAAATAGGCCACTCTAACACGTCAATTAACGTAATTTGAGGAGCATCGAGCTTGAGTTGAACTGATAACAAGACAATAAGTTCTACTTCTGAAGGTACATTTTAATTGATTTTAATTGTAGGTTCTTTACTTTGATATTTAGATGGAAGAAAACTCAGCATACAAATAGCATTTTTCAATGCAGTAAAATAAATTTCTGTATGATTTTTTCTTTTTTTTCAAATAGTAAAAATGAGAAAAAAATGCAAGATTTAATTTTAGAGCTTCATCGATGGCATGACATGTATGAACTTTTATTTTTTTCACTGAACTAGGTTCATGTATTTCAATGAAAGTCACCTTTGACTCAAACATTAAAAGCTTTCTGTGTAAAACTATGATGGTGTGAAATTATAATATTTTGCTGTTTGCTATCCCATTCAAGAAACAATGTAGTTATTGTACTGTGTTATTTGTTCCCCTTTCCATGTGATATATAATACAGCACTTACCCTGCTTTCTTCTAGGCTATCAAATGGGCCTGGTGGATCATCCAGACAAAGAAATTCTCTCACTGCAAGGCTTTTCAAAGGGGAAAAAAAAAAAAAAGGTAAGCTGGGGTACAAATAAGTTTACCAAAGACAGAAAGCGAAAGTTACTTTGAAGATATACAGTGTTTTAAGCAAGTTGGTTTTGGGGATATACCAAAAGCAGCAAGTTGGTTTATGTGTTTTCACACAACCAACCAAATACAAATATAAAATCTATAGAAGATACAAAGATTTTAAGCCATTTTCTAAGATCTTATGAACATAGAGACTGTAAATTCATACTGCAGGAGATAAAATATAAGTCAGAATAACGGTACAGGAAACCAACCTAAATGATGAATAGAAACAGTATTACTTCCAAAATTATTAATTTAAACTAATCTAAAAATGTCATTATCTTGTTATGAAGAAATACAATTTCTAATTTATACTTTATTTGTTTCATTGTCAGGCGATGCTTCTAAAGTAACTGAAAAGTATTTACTCTGAAACGAGTTAAAGATTTTTCTTGCAATCATGTTTATTACAGTAATTTACATAAATATTTTCCCTGAAGAGTTTAAGAGAAAAAAGTACTGAATAACTCATTTCTGAATTACCATAAATTTAAAAATAATGAAATACAGTTGACCCTTCAACCACACAGGGGTTAGGGGTGCTGACCCCCTGTGTAGCTGAAAATCTGCATATAACTTTTGACTCTTCAAAAAGTTAACTACTAATAGCCTACTGTTGACTGGAAGCCTTCTCCTTAACATAAATGGTCAATTAACCCATATATTGTATATTATATACTGCATTTTTACAATAAAGTAAGCTAGAGAAAGGAAAATGTTATTTAGAAAATCATAAGGAAAATACATTTATAGTATTATGCTGTAAAAAAATCTGTGTATGAGAGGATCTGTGCAGTTCAAAGCTGTGTTATTCAAGGGAGCAACTGTAATATGGTATTGTTGTCTTTGGCAATTATCAGAAATAGGTTAAAACAGTAGAAAACTTATTAACTTCCTTGTTACAAAAATATTCACCTTTCTAAAAGCAATTTTGGACTGAGAGGCAACTCTGTGTGCATGTCAGAACAAATATGGAGACTTAAAATTTTTAGGTATAAAAGGATAAAAATATATTTTGATGTACTGTATAGATGTCAACCTATGCTGAAAAGGGGATGTATGTTGGGGTTCATACTGGGTCAGATGGGTCGATGATGACAGGGGATGGTCTTGAAGAGACAAATGGGTGGAATATACAGTGAAGCCTTTCAAAAGTAAAAATAATGTGAATTAGTATAGAGAGTGGTGTTAAGAAATTAATCCAGAAGATCACAAAGACAGAACAAAGAGGAGTAAATCTGTGGATGATAACATCTTGACAATACAAGTAATAAAGGACACAGATTTAGGGAAACCGAGAAAAAACTTGAGTATTCATAATCATGAAATAATAGATATGGCAAGGATCTTAAATGTGATCCAGCTGCTTTTTAAAAAATGTGATCCATAGTATGCTTTTTATCCTTTTCATGTGTTCAGCCAAGAGTATACCTAAACACCTCCAGGAATAGGGAATGTTCCACCTCTTAGAATAAACCATCTTATGTTTGAAAAACACTAAAAATTAGAGAATTATTTCTTCTACTGAGCTAAAATTTTTCTCCCTGCAGCTTCTACTTATGAATCTTAGTTCTGCTTTTGAGTCATTCAGGGCAAATCTAAGTCCTTTTTCACCTGATAACCCTAAAAGCACGTTGAGAATGTTACAGTTCCTCTAACCTTATATTCCCCCAAAGCAATACTAATACACTAATATTTTCTTTTTTTTTTATCCTGTAACAAAATTTACTGTGTACTTACAGCCTGTATGGTCTCTGCACTTATGGAACCAACATTTTCCCCCAGTTTTACTGAGGTGTAACTGACAATTAAAAATTGTATATTTAAGGTGTACAACTTGATTTAAGTATACACTGTGAAATGTGAACTACAATCAAGTTAATTAACATATCTATCACCCCACAAAGTTATCATTTCTAATTTAAAGTACATTTCACACACAGGGCTTTCATATATCCTATTTCATTTAATTTTCACAATAATCATGTGAGGTGAAGACAGGCATTACATTTCCATTTTACAAATGACACCAAAGTTCAGAGAGTTAAAATGATCCATACAAGTGCAAGTGGTAGAGCAAGACCTTAAATCTGTCTTCCGAGCAAAAAAATGTGCCTTTCATCTTTAAATTCTTTTCTGTTATATTATGGTTCACTTGGATCCTTTCCCCTTGCTGGTCACTTCCCTCAGAAAACATTGAACTTGTCTGTATCCTTTAACCACGGCCCCTAGAACACTGCAATTGGTCTAAAAGCACAGAGAAGAACAGGACCACCACACATTCTTTTGGTTTAGCTATTTATACTCCTATCCTCCCATTATTAGAGAACCAACTATTAGGCAAAAAATGAGTCACAGGAAATAAACTGATCTTGGGACTGAGAGGTCAAAAGTCTAGATGAAACCCTGAGAACAGCCTTTAAGATTGATAAGGAAAGTGCACAGAAGTTTACAGAAGGGTCTTTTTTTCTTTTTAATACTTTCAGTATATGATAACTCAATGTGAGACATTGTTTTCTTATAGCTTTATACCCAGACTTCCTCATTCTTTAGGAACATTTTTATGTTTGCAAATTACTCTAATTATTGAAATGCTGCTGCTATGAGACAAAGTAGTTAAGGGAATATATGTATCTCTTTTTATACCTTTGACTTGTAGTAGAAATTTAGCCCAAGATCCACAGTGATGTTGACAATGTACCCAGCTGTATATCTTTTTTGGAGTGGCTTTTCTATTTCATTCTCCTTCCCTAAACATCTTTATGATCTATATTACCTCCCCATGACTTATTTATTTTACAACTGGAAGTCTGTAGCTCTTAATCCCCTTCATCTAATATATAGCATAGGGAATAGAGTCAGTAACTTGGCAATAACTCTGTAGTGACAGATGGCAACTAGACTTTCTGTGGGAATCATTTTATAATGTATAAAAATACTGAATCTCTATGATGTACACTTGAAACTAATGGGATATTATATATCAATTAATACTTCAGTAAAAAGAGAAAAATCTTTATGATCTATATAGCTCACTAGAGTGCTACTCAAACAAAATCCAATGGATTCCCTAAGTTTTTTTCCAATATAGCTCAAGGTCATATTCCATGCCCCACCTTCTTTAATCTGTAACATAAGAATGAAATTTAAAACTGGCCATACAACTCTGACTTATAAAATACTTTCTCAGGGTTTCACTACATTTCCTCGGTTTCAACAGGACTCAGGTGGCAGAGGAAGACAGTCAATATGCTCAAACTCTATTTCCATAGGAGAGGGACACACAAGAATCTCTGGGAGATGGTAATGTTTGAGAAAACAATTTCTTTCACAGACATTCTGATACCTTTTTATCCCCCCTAGAAAAGGAAACCTTTACCCCTGCATGAGAATCCCTGACTAGAGAACTTTATTTAGATTTGATAAATATTTGACTGCTTATGTGTGCCATGGTTCTGCTCAATGATTTCCTACATATTATCAATGTATAATTTATAAGCAAATTAACTGATTCAAATAAAATGTAAACATCAGCCTATTATTATTAAATGGTCTATAAATTAAATAGAAGTTAATTTTTTTCCAGAGAATTGAAGTTTTTATTTTTTTTATTATGTTCAGTTAGCCACTGTATAGTACATCATTAGTTTTTGATGTAGTGTTCAAAGATGCCTTAGTTACGTATAACACCCAGTGCATATCACAACCTGTGCCCCCCTTAATACCCATCACCCTGTTACCCCTAGAAGTCAATTTTTAAGAAGAAAGTCTTTCTTTTTTTCCTCCTTGTTCAATGAAAGGTTCGGTATAGCCCCCCATCTCTCCTCCATATTCAATCTTTAATACTTTTGCTTCCATTTGGCTATGATAATAAAAGTAAGAAAAACAGGATAAAAGAGAAACCTATCTAAGAGAAAAATCCAATAATCTGGAATTAAAAGGTAAAGAAACACTTTGTATCTTTCTATACCCTTTATTACCTAGAGTAGCTTTTTAGTGTGTTTGGGAAAACTCTATTTTAAAATTGAGATCAGTTGTTGACTTAGCTTGCCTGAAGATAAGAAGACCACAGATGGTATCCCTCAGCATTTTTTTATCTGAGCAAATTTGCCCTATAACTTTATCTCTTCCTCTGATTCTCTAAAAAAGTTTTCTTTCAGTTTTACTACATTTCTGAACTTCTTAAAAAACTATTTCATCCGGGGAATTTCATCTTCTATTTACTATTATATTTTACTTTTTTCTTTCATAAATATGTATCTGTTTATATTTCAATTTTTTTAAAAAAACCCAGTAATTTAATAGCTAAATGTACTTTCATCTTGAAATGTATATTTTAAAAGAAAAAAACCCTTAAAACTAATGCCTACAATTCATTAAAAGGTCAATCAAGAACTAAGTAAAAAGTGCACTAAAAATACTAGATGCCAATTCTATCAAAATCAGATTAAGCACAAAAAGGCTACTGCATGAAAATATTCCTCAAGGATTTCAGACAGAAATGTTATATCGGTTAGTATTTCTCTTCAGTTTTCTCTGCCAGCTAAAATAAAATAATTGACAAAAAATTGACATTAAACACAGCCTGGAGAATAAGGACTCAGAGATCAAGGCTGGTGACAGTGACGGTCACAATGGAGATGGACTGGTTGGGTGTGAGGCTGAAGGGCTCACATTTAGACTCCTGTGGTGGAATATGGAGGCAGTGGGGAACCAGTTTAGACCTTGATTATCTCTTGCCTAATTACTAGCCCACTTTTGTCCCCATGTTCAGTTTTATTCCTTCTAATCCAGAGTACTTAAAAAACAAACGTTTTATGTCAAACCCAGCTTAAAACCCATCTATGCCTCCTCTAGCAAGAGGGAACAAAGCCAAGATCTTTGTGTTGGCATAAAACACCTGCCTACATTTCAG